CTTATAGTAGATAAATAATTAGTATATTTTAAACTCTCTGTTCTAGTCGCAATACACGGAGTAAGACAGGGAAATAGGGTCCAATAAATATCATTTAATGAAATTATGATTAATAATTCTTTGATTTCCAGCCCATATGGATATAGTGAAGGTATGGAAATCAGGATTTATTCTCATTCTTGTTGGAGTAATTGCTCATTCTGCAAACTCCCCCATGACCATCAGTGAAGGATTATTTTTAACGATATAGTCCTGGATTATTTCTCGTATTTTCGTACAGAGTGAGTCTTTCATTAAATCACCATATTTAATAGCTTCATTTGGTCTGTACTTATGATCGAGGTTCACATAAAGCGGTGCCTTCTTTGTTCTAAGGGATCTCATATACTTTTATAAGTTCTTCTATTTTAAAAATACTTATGGAAACTTCTTATACTATTATACTGAATTCTCAACTGCTACTTAGCGTTAGCTCTTATATTTTTTATAACCTTTATGTAACTTCTTTGGCTTCTTGCAATACATTTTCTGCTAACCCTCGATCTTTTTATTGTGAAAAATAACAAACTGTATGACGTGTCTTTCATTTTTGCTCTTTTTTTTTGCAGATTTCATATACACGTTATTATTTCTACTGCTTTTTGTTGAATGTTATATTTGATAACTGTATTAAGATACATTTAAATGCATCATCTTTTTACAGTTTATCAAGTTTGCTTCATTTTCGAATATATACTTGTGTTTACTGACATTATCAGTTGTTCAAGTTTTTTTTGTTTTTATTTAGCCTTAAAGGATAAAACGGTTGACTGAGTTTATTGAATTAAGTTAATCTTTAGCTCTCGAAATATCATTTGGCGTCAATAAAGCATTTAGGGCTAATAAACATTGTCAGGAAGACATGTTAGGCTTAATAAACCGAGCTTGTCAAAAACAACAAAAGTGGAGAAAACCTTTAAAGTTTAAAATCACCAGAGGAAGGGGGGTCTCAGCCCGAAACGTTGTGAATATTAAAACGTCTATTTAATGTTGGTCATTTTTCGTGGTATAAGTTATTTTCCACTTTTTTTGTTTTCGATTTTATCTTACCACAGCATATTTTTTAGCCGATTTTCTACTGGAACATGGCATTCACTAGCTATTATAGCGTCAAGAATAAATGTTAGGCCTACTAAAACAGAGCATGTCTATTTGACAATGGCATTCACTAGCTATTATAGCGTCAAGAATAAATGTTAGGCCTACTAAAACAGAGCATGTCTATTTGACAATGGCATTGACTAGCTGAGG